GGGGCCGCAGCTAGCTGGGGAGCCCGCACCCCACAGAGTAACCATGGAGACCGCTGGCCAGGCATGGGACGGGGTGCCAGGAGAGCAGCTGAAGGGGGCACTGTGCCCAGCACATGGGGGGTGTGGTCTCGGGCAGAGCCGGGGCAGGAGCGCAGCTCCCGTGGGTGCTAGCGGCCTTCACCACCCCATGGCGGGGGCAGAGGGTGGGGCTGTGCCAGCTGGGCCTGTCTCACGGCCGGCAGCGGTGCCCAGTGCTGAGTGACGGGCTCTCTGTGCCCCATACCCTGCCCGCTCCCACCGGTCTGGCGGTGCCCAGAGCTGCATGTAGGTGGCAGCCAGAGGCAGGCCCTGCAGGAAGAGGAGAAAAATCATTCTCTTTGGCCTCCAAGGAAAGGACAAGAAGCAATGAGCTTAAACTGCAGCAAGGGAGGTTTAGGTTGGACGTTAGGAAAGACTAACTGCTAAGTTACCTGCCAAAAAAAGTAAGACTTTTCCAGGCCTTAGTTGCACTAGAACAGTGGTCTCCAACTTTTTTACACACAAGACCACTTTTTAAATGTCAAGGCAAGCCAAGATCTACCCCATCCCCTCCCCAAGACCCCACTTCTTGAGGCCCCAAACTCTCCATAATTTGCTGTCCCCAGCCCTTACTCACTCTCACTGGGTTGAGACAGGAGGTGCGAGCTCTGGGATAGGAATGAAGGATTTGGATGAGGGAAGGGTGAGAGGCGCAAGCTCTGGGAGGGAATATGAGTGCAGAAGGAGGTAGAGAAAGGGATGCTGGCTCAGAGAGGGGACTCCAGGCTGGAGTGTGTCAGGTTAGGTGGAAAGTTGGGGTGCTGGAACAAGCCGCAGGCTTGTGGATGTAGGGGTGCAGGAGTTTGGGCTGGGGTATATGAAGGATTAAGGGCAGGAGGTGCTGGGTGTATGATGGGCTCAGGGCACAGGTTTGCAGTGTGTGGATGGTATAGGAGTCTTGTGGCACAAGACTGGGGAGATGGGTGGTGCAGGAGTTTGGGAAGGTGAAGGGCTCAGAGCAGAGGGTTCAGATGTGTGATGGCCTCAGGGCTGGGGGGTGCAGGAGTGTTATGATGCTGTGGCCAGCCAGAGGCTTGGCCCCAGTTGGGGGCTTGTTGGCCAGGCTTCATGTTTAAATACAATACTATGTGCAACCCACAACGTTTCAGCGTTGTCTTTACTTCTGGGAGGGGCAGGGAACCTGTTTTGGGTCAGGGGCCTCTGACCCACTGACAGATCAGTTGGGGACCACACAAGCAACATGCAAAAAAACAGGCCCCCAGCTTCACTGATGCGGCCCCAACTGGGACACGCCCCTCCCCTGGCTCCAGCCGCATGGGGGGTAGGACTGAGGTTCAAGGCCTCAGGCCAGATTAACGCTTCTGGGGTTCCAGGGTGAGGGGAGTTCGTGGGCCCTTCTACACTCTGAGGGGTCCCGGGAGCAGGTTGGGGCTGCCAGTGCGTGGGATCGGGATGGGGGTGCAGAATCTGGCTGGGAAGTAGGGTACAGGAGCAAGCTGGGGGTAGGTGTCTGGCCAGGAGGGAGGGGCACTAGACGGTGCTGGGTCCTGCCGGGGGGCAGGGGCTGGACTTGATGCCTCTCGAGGGCCCTGCCAGTTCTAGGACTCTGGGACTTGACGCCACTGGCCCTCCTGTGGGGCGACAGAGCCGGAGGGGCCTCAGGAGCTCGCCTGCTGGGCGTGTGTCTCGGCTGCTGGGCACAACCGGGCAGCAGCCGGGTGCCAGCACTTCTGCCTGTACCATGCCCAGGGCGAGTGGGGTCTGTTCCCCAGGCTGAGCTGCTCTCCGGCAGGGTCCCTGGCCCCACAGCCAGGCCAGGGGAGAGGAAGCGAGGGGTCACCCCTGGCTCCCCTTGAGGCATCCAGTGCTGACCATGTCCAGAGACAGACCCCCCCCAGAGCACAAGGGGCAGCTCCCAGGCAGAGCCCCGGGGCACCACTGCAGAACATAGCTGGACTCTGCCCCCCTGCACGATGGGGCCCCGCCAGGGCCAGCCCCTCGGCCTCAGCCCAGATCTGCTGAGGGGCTGTGGCCTCCGGTCATTCTCCCCTCGCAGGTCTCTGCGGCGCGGGGCGGCCAGCAGCGTTCCCTCTGTTTTTCCATCCATGTGCGGAATAAATGTGTGCACCGAGGCATGTGTGGATGTGCACCACCCATAGACACACCGGCTGCCAGCTGTGGGCGCTTTGCTCATCAGCCGGGTGGCTGCCCAAGCGCTTGGCTCACAGGGAACACCGGCGGCCACCACCCTCAGCCCTGCCCGGCCGGGAGATGCCAGGTTACCATCTGGGCTCCTTCAGAGCCAGCACCTGGGAGGCTCTGATCCCCTGAGCGACCCCCTGTGCCCCCCATCCCTCCCCATGGGTGGCTGCCGGGGGTCAGGCCTGGAATGGCTCGCACACCCCAGGGGGGGGGCCGCCCCCG